ACAACATTGATGACGAGTATAATAATAATAATAATAATAGTAATAATAATAATAATAATAATAATAATAATAATAATAATAATAATAATAATAATAATAATAATAATAATAACAATACTACTACTACTACTACTACTACTACTACTACCTCCACTACTACTACTACTACTACTAATAATAATAATAATGATAATAATTCCCCTCTCCTATACACTTTCACTCCCTCCCTCATCTGTTCTCCTTTTCCTTACTCTCTTTTTCACTTTATCCTCCCCTCTCCCTCACTCTTCCCTTCCCCCTGCCCCTCTCCCTCACTCTTCCCTTCCCCCTGCCCTTCTCCCTCACTCTGCCCTTCCCCTGCCCCTCTCCCTCCTCTGCCCTTCCCCTGCCCCTCTCCCTCCTTGCCCTTCCCCTGCCCCTCTCCTTCACTCTTCCTTCCCCTGCCCCTCTCCCTCACTCTTCCCTTCCCCCTGCCCCTCTCCCTCACTCTTCCCTTCCCCCTGCCCTTCTCCCTCACTCTGCCCTCACCTACGTCACCAACAGCTGCTGGTCGAAGGTTTAATTAAAGGTAATCTCACCTGTACTTACATATAATTGATCTTACCTGTGAGATTAATAGTGCCGACGGCCCCCATGAGTGAGGTACTACAGGTGTACCCTCTCCCTTGACCTATTGTATCAGTGATAATAATAATGATTTATAATGATGATATTGATGATAATGATAGAAAAGACAGTAATATAATGATACTACTACTATTACTACTAGTACTACAGATATGAAATAATTACATCAGGGCCCAGGTGAGTACAACAGAGACTGGTATTGGTGTAGTCTACTCAAGCTGCCCGTTTTACCCGAGGACTTCCTTCGCCAATGGCTATAATGTATTTGGTTTTTTCTCTCTAATTCTCCCCTTTACATGTATTTGTCTTTCTGTCTGTCTGTGTGTCTGTCTGTCTCATTATCTATATACATATTACACACACACACACACACACACACACACACACACACACACCATCACTTAACCCTCACACAAAAGCTCCTACGGCCCCCCCATTAAAGGCGCTTTCAGGTATTTTCCCCCAAATTTAAGTTTTTAGTCATTAGTAAGAGACAGCCTTCTCCCCCTGGCTCTCTGTTGACTCACCAGTGATGAGATAATCACAAGACTTCACCCAAATGATTAGAGAGAGAGATTGGATTGAGATTTTGGAGGCGTTGTTGAAATTAGACTTTGGAGGCGGTATTAATTAATTATTCTTGGAGATTGAATCGGTTTTTACAATTGGGAAGTTGAAGTGAGTATTTTTTTTTGGAGGGAGGGATGTAAAAAAATATTAAAATAAAAATAAATTTGGAGGTAAAATTATTAGGGTAAGGAAGACTATCCAACCTCACTTCCACCCCTTTGACCTCACCTCTGTCTCTTCCAGCCTCACCTTCACCCCTCCATCACCTTCTATTCCTCCATCCTCTCCAACCTCATCCCTAACCCCTCAAACTTCACCTCCACTCCTTCCAACCTTCCCTCTACCTAACCTTATCCCTTCCTCCCCTCTCTTCCCCTCTCCTCCCTTCTCTTCCCCTCTCCTCCCCTCTCTTCCCCTCACCATAGGCTCACAGGATGTTTTAGGATATTATAAAAGTCTCCTTCGGAAATTGTGGACGAGTTTAGTAGTGGTCACATCCTAATGCCACCCCCCTCTCTCTCTCTCTCTCCTCTCTCTCTCTCTCTCCTTTCTCCCTCACTCCCTCTCCCTTCCCTCCTTTCTCTGTCCCTCCTCTATCCATCCCTTCCTTCCTCTCTTCGTCCCTCCTCTGCCCTCCTTTCTCTCTCCCTCCTACTCTTCCTCCGTCCATCCGTCCGTTCATCCTTCCTTCCTTCCTTCCTTCCTGAAATGTCATCTCAAGGGTTTGTGTGTATGTGTGTGTGTGTGTGTAGTGGTGTGTGTGTAGTGTGTGTGTGTGTGTGTGTGTGTGTGTGTGTGTGTGTGTGTGTGTGTGTAGTGTGTGTGGTGTGTGTGTGTAGTGTGTGTGTGTGTGTGTGTGTGTGTGTGTGTGTGTGTGTGTGTAGTGTGTGTGGTGTGTGTGAGTGTGTATGTGTGTGTGTGTGTGTGTGTGTGCGTGTGTAGGTGTGTGTGTGTGGTGTGTGGTGTGTGTGGTGTGTGTGTGTGGTGTGTGTGTGTGTGTGTGTGTGTGTGTGTGTGTGTGTGGTGTGTGTGTGGTGTGTGTGTGTGTGTGTGTTTCTCTACCCCAATATTCTAAAAGCTTCGTCAGAAAAAAAAAATCCCTCGTAAATTAAGGTCAAAGAAACGCCACTGACTGATTGACTTAAGTTATGACCCGAAGAGAGATGTTGAGACAGAGAGAGAGATGTAACACCAAGACTCATATAATACAACACCAAAAAAGTTAATTCTGAGAGACCCTTAAAGTCACCTTCTCCGGTAACTTAACTTAGGGTGGAGAAAGCATAGCAGATATCCTTAAGTTAGTAGACAGGAGATGTACAGTAAAAGCCTCCTAACAAGATGACGAGGGAATTTACCCGTCTGTCTCACTCACTCAAGCTAAGACGGTGACTTAGAGAACTGGGAAAAAATGATGATATTGCTCTCACACTCTACGATAGATAGATCGATAGATAGAGAGATAGATAGATAGATAGATAGATAGATAAATAGATAGATAGGTAAATACATAGATAGCTAGGTAGGTAGATAGATAGATAGATAGATAGATAGATAGATAGATAGATGAAGAGTTAGTTAGATGTGAAGATAGATTGAGGAAGAGCTTAAGGGATTGATGGATGGGAATGAAGATAGAGAGATAGAGTCACGAGACAGATATATAGACAGATAGGATGGCCATTATATCTTAAACTTCCTCCCGTGTCGACTTTTTTTTAAATATTTTCCAACTTTCGTAATCCACCAGGATGAGTTTGTCCAGTTCCTCTTATATAACCACGAGTTCTTTCATATATAATAATAATTAAGCTATACAGGACTGAGATAGGTTCCTCCTCCCGCCTCTGACCCCGTGGAAGGAAGAGGTGGAGCGTGGCTGATCTTAATCCAACACAAGTCCCAATATCCTGCCACAACTTTACTGACCGACACACCTTCTTCTTCTTCTTCTTCTTCTTCTTCTTCTTCTTCTTCTTTCTTCTTCTTCTTCTTTCTTCTTCTTCTTCTTCAGGTTGTGGATTCTGTCTTCTGTCTCGTGGTGACCAACTACCAATGATCTGTTGTTTACATTTATTTATAATCTTAATCGAATTGTTGTATTGTTTTTGATGTTATGTCGTTTATACTTGTCTGTTGTCTCTTGATGTTCTTTTGTTTCTTCTTCTGTCGGCTGATAACTATCGGTAAATTGAATGGAATTATGTCGTTGTTGTTGTTCCTTCTGTGATTTCTAGTTGGTTTAATTATTGCAAATGTTATTGCTGTTAGAATTTCTGGTGTTATTACTGTTGTTATTGTTTTTATTACTGCTGCTGTTATTGTTGTTATCACTGCTGCTGTTATTGGTGTTCTTACTGCTGCTGTTATTGTTGTTATCACTGCTGCTGTTATTGGTGTTCTTACTGCTGCTGTTATTGTTGTTATCACTGCTGCTGTTATTGGTGTTCTTACTGCTGCTGTTATTGGTGTTATCACTGCCGCTGTTATTGGTGTTATCACTGCCGCTGTTATGACTCAGGTTGGTGTTGTTGTCTGTAGTGTTACTGCTGCCCCTCTTCTCTTTAGCCCCAGACTGGCTCCCTCCCAAAGGCTGTGATGACAGTAAATGGAAGGTGTATTGACGGAGGGAGAGTGATGGTATAGCCTCTCACCCGGCCAACCTCTCACCCGGTCAACCTCTCACCCGGTCAACCTCTCACCCGGCCAACCTCTCACCCGGCCAACCTCTCACCCGGCCAACCTCTCACCCGGCCAACCTCTCACCCGGCAACCTCTCACCCGGCCAACCTCTCACCTGACCAACCTCTCACCTGACCAACCTCTCACCTGGCCAACCTCTCACCTGACCAACCTCTCACCTCAACCTCTCACCCGACCAACCTCTCACCCGGCCAACCTCTCAACCTCTCACCTCTTCACCTCTCACCTCTCACCCGCCAACCTCTCACCTCTCAAACCTCTCACACCTCTCAACCAACCTCTCACCTCTCACTCACCTCTCACCTACTCTCAAACCCGGCCAACTTCTCAACCTCTCACCTGGCCAACCTCTCACCCGGCCAACCTCTCATCTCACCCGACCAGCCTCTCACCTCTCACTCTCTCCCCTCACTAGGGATGCCAGGACTTACCCATTTCTATTTAATTAAGGTTCTGAGCTGTATTTTAATAAGCAAGAGAATTTATATATTATTGGTGGACCGATATATTAAATTCTCTCCCACGACTCTCCCTTCCTCTCCCATCCCACTCTTACTCTCTCAAGACCTCTCACTCACCCAAAACACCCCCTCCCACCTCACTACCACAACCCCCACCTCACTCACCCAAGCCCCCACCTCACTCACCCAAGCCCCCACCTCACTCACCCAACCTCTCCCCACCTCACTCACCCAAGCCCCCACCACCTCACCCAAGCCCCCACCTCACTCACCCAACCTCCCCCACCTCACTCTCTCACCCCTACCTCACTACAACCCTCCCAAACCCCTTCAACCCCCCCCCTCCACACACACGAAACACCATGCAGTCTTTCTCACCGTTATTAATTCCTTTGTTTAACGTGTAGATTAATAGCAGCTCATAGTCAACAGTCATAAGTGTTTGATCTTTGTAGCCTCTTTGTTCTACGGCGCCTGTGATCACTTGTAGTTTGAGAGGAGTATTAATATATAAACGGTGTTCCGGGTTTGGTTCGGGGACTATGAATGTATGTGGTGGTAGTGTGGTAGATGATGGTGTGGTGGGGTTGTTGGGTGTTGTGGTTGGTTAGGTTAGGTTAGGTTAAGAAAAGACAGAGAGACGTACTTACAGTTTTATTGGCTACAGACAGACACTGACTTACATACAGTTATGACAGGGTGATGACTACTTACTAATGCTGGTCTCGGTACAATACTTTAAGGGAGTGATGTTTCTATACTCCAGCGAGATGTCTCATTTTGTTTAGTGGAACGAGAAGCACCTTGGTGATGTCTCTTTTGGTCTCGTGAGATATCTCTGTCTCGTATGTGGAAGTCTTTTGAGAGAGATGCAACTGCGAGGAGATATCTCTGGTCTGTCTTCGTGAGATTTTTGTTTTTCACTTTATAATAATAATGTAGGTGAAATTTAGTCGACCGAGAGACACTTACGAGACATATGTGTCCTCCCCCGCAGGTGTGTAGCTGTACACACACACACACACACACACCTGCGACACAATACGCCTTGATGAGAGATGCTCGTGTTCTCGAGTCTGAAATACATAGTTTATGAGATTAGAGACACATTCCATCCATGTCAGGAGATTTTGATCAAAAAACACTTAAGAGACAGTCATTCATACGAGACATCTATTCTCGTTTCCAGGTTTAGGTATCCTGAGAGATATCTCCCTCTGGCTCATACACACATAGAGACGTCTTTTCGAGCACCCTCTTATGACTCTCAGCTCTGTAAGTGAGAGACTCCCCCTTATCTCCCTGGTTGGGACTCCCCCTTATCTCCCAGACTAACAATCCTCCCCTATCTTCCGCTCACACTGGCACTCGTTCACAAGCATCTCGTTCCTTTAGCTCCTAGTGTCTCGCTTGTCTATCTCGTTTAATTGTAAATATCTCGCTATTTTATTAAAAAGTTAATATCTCGTTATCACACTCTTTATGTCACCAGTATCTCGTTATCACACTCTTTATGTCACCAGTATCTCGTTATCACACTCTTTATGTCACCAGTATCTCGTTATCACACTCTTTATGTCACCAGTATCTCGTTATCACACTCTTTATGTCACCAGTATCTCGTTATCACACTCTTTATGTCACCAGTATCTCGTTATCACACTCTTTATGTCACCAGTATCTCGTTATCACACTCGTTTAACCACCAGTGCCTCGTTATCTCATTCCTTCAGTAACCAGTCAATATGTTGTTTCCTCTCGTTCGCTAGTTCGTTCGTGATAGAGGTCGACCAATAACGAAACACCCATTTGAGCAAGAGTGGTTTATGAAACACCTCAATCTTAAGACCACTTTTGGGGGAATTCTGGTCTGGGAATGTTTGTTTGTTTGTTTTGTTTTGTTTGTTTAGTTTTTCTTGCTAATACATCCGATATAATTAACACACACACACACACACACACACACACACACACACATACACACATATTTGAGGTTCTTTGGTTAATACTGGTCGGTAGGGTAATTTATTAATTTATTTATTATGGTGCGAGTCATAAAGCGAAGCTCCGAAGCCTTTTCTCTCTCTCTCTCTCTCTCTCTCTCTCTCTCTGTTATGGTTTTGGTCATAACACAAGGTACCGAAGCACCAATTATCCGCCTCAGTATTTGTTTCGAACCCATTAAGTTTGAAACACAATACTAAGGTTCTTTACGGCTTCAAGACAATGACATAGAGACAGTGGCTTACTGCTTCAGTCTCATAACGCGAAGCTTCGAGACAATAATTCTGGAAAATCATTGGCATTTATCTTGCTTTTGTTTCGTATTATTGCCTTAAAGCACATCTATATAAATGTTTCTTTGTTTTAATATTAACGAATCGTTGTCATTGATATCTTCTGTAACTTCACGGAAACACATACCTGGCATGCCCTTGTCTTCAGAGTAAAAGCACATCTCTGAAGTAATGACTTGTTCTCATCTCTAAGCACATCTTGGGTATCCCCATTTTCCTTCAAGTCAGGGCAGGCCTCTGAGTATCCCCGTTTTATTTCAATACATTTTTTACCATTTTCGTTATTTTCAGATTTTTTTTCATGTCCTTACTAACCTACAGGTAACTTATGAAACAAACGGGTTATTTACTTTTTAACAAGAATAAAGCTTTTGTGTATACAGGAAAATAAAGAGTATAGTAATGATAGATAGATTTCACACAAGAGTAAAATTTCCCCCTCTAAGTTGTGCTAACGTTTTCTCTCACACTCAGAATAGTACAGTTCCCCCTGGGTCCTGGTAACGTTTTCTACCAGTCATGAAAAAAGAATACACTCTCTCAAAGTAACTCTAAGGCAAGTAATCATGAAACACAGTACCAGAGAGAGCAATTAACAGCGCCTGGCGATTCCTATTGACTGCAATGACTCGCTGTGGAAAGCTACACTAACACCAGCTTTCGTTGCTTCTTTTCTGTTTACACTGGCGTTGATATAATGGTGGGAGTGAGTCTGTATCCCTCTAATGGCACATTTATGAAAGCCTCTACGCCAAGCAAAGCGTTCATCATCACTGTGTGGCCGAGGACGTTTACACCCCGCACCAGGGACACCACACCAAGGACACCACACCAGGAACACCACACCAAGGACACCACACCAGGGACACCGTCTCCTCTAACACTATAATACTGTTAGCTTCTGCCGTCCTGGCCTGAAAGTACAGTGGTAGAGCTCTGTCACCTGCTGTGTGTAGAGCTCTGCCATCTTCTTTGTGTAGAGCTCTGCCACCTGCTGTGCGTAGAGCTCTGCCACCCGCTGTGTGTAGAGCTCTGCCTCCTGCTGTGTGCATAACTCTGCCATCTGCTGTGTGTAGAGCTCTGCCACCTTCTGTATGTAGAGCACTGTCACCTGCTGTGTGTAGAGCTCTGCCACCTACTGTGTGTAGAGCTCTAGAGCTGTCACCTGCTGTGTGTAGAGCTCTGCCACCTGCTGTGTGTAGAGCTCTGCCTCCTGCTGTGTGTAGAGCTCTGCCTCCTGCTGTGTGTAGAGTTCTGCCACCTGCTGTGTGTAGAGCTCTGCCATCTGCTGTGTGTAGAGCTCTGCCACCTGTTGTGTGTAGAGCTCTGCCTCCTGCTGTGTGCAGAGCTCTGCCATCTGCCATGTGTACTGCTCTACCACTTGTCATATGTAGAGCTCTGCCATCTGCTGTGTGTAGAGCTCTGCCATATGTTGTGTAGAGCTCTGCCACCTGCTGTGTGGAGAGCTCTGCCATCTGCCATGTGTACTGCTCTACCACTTGTCATATGTAGAGCTCTGTCATCTTCCGTGTGTTGTTCTGCCACCTGCCATGTATAGAGCTCTGCCGTGTGTAGGGCTCTGCTACCTATAGAGACCTCAGGGTTGCCAGTTACCATTATTGTAAGATAGATGAAAGTTGCTATAGACTGACAGCTTCAGTTGAGGCGCCATTATGGGGAAATAAATTAACTTAACTGGAGTTGTCACACCTTTACCACGAACGAATAGATTAACAGTAATATTTCTCCACTTATTATTTCCAGTTCGTATTACCATGGAAGTTGATTTATTTTACTTAATTATATTCACTAAGTTCCAGTTTACAAAGCCAAGTTTATTTACATTATAAGCAATATTTTTTTCTTGTATTTCTAGGTCATATAACCGGGAAAGTAGGTTTAATTTATCATTATATTCCTTAAGTTCCGGTTCACATGGACAAGAACGTATGCCATTCAGAGTACAACCGTTCTTCACTTAATGCCAGATGCCTTAAGTAAATCCACCACGAACGTAAGCTCGTTTTAGAAGTGATATTTTCTACTTCTCGTCATCTCACACTTTATAATCTTAAGGAACGTCTGTCTGAACGTCTTGTTGAAGAACGTATAGAAGAAAGGGTTGACCATAGAGGAAGCGTAGCCTAACCAGGTCACTAAGTTAATCATTTCTTCCCCAATGTGAGCACCACACGAGATGAGAACATTGGCGATGAAGAACGGCGCCCACAGCAGAACAAACGTGAAGAACACCACTCCCAGCACCTGTAACAAGGAGACAAATAGCGTGAACACAGATTAATGGGAATAAATGGTAAAGGCGAGAACAACATCTACTTATAATTACTTTTCCCTGTCTGTTCTCTCAACCTTCCTCTCTCTCCTTCCTCTCTCTCTCTCCCTCACTCACTTTAATGGCTTTCTGTTCCATCCGTATGTTCCTGCCGTGACGAGGAGGTGTACTCAACCTTACCTCACTCTCCCTCCCTCTCCACACCCCCATCCCTCCCTCCCTCCCTCCCCCTTCCTTATACACACTCCCTCTCCCTCCCCCTTCCTTATACACCTCCCCCTCCCTTCCCCTTCCATATACATACTCTCCTCCTCCCTCCCCTTATACACCTCCCCCTCCCTCCCCTCTTATACATACTCTCCCTCCCTCCCCTTCATATACACCTCCCCTACCCCCCTTATACATACTCCCCCTCCCCCTCTTATACCTTCTCTCCCTCCCTCCCTCCCCTTCCTTATACATACTCCCCCCCCCTTATACATACTCTCCCTCCCTCCCTCTCACCTTAGTGGCCTTCTGCTCCATCCTTATGTTCCTGCCGTGACGCTTGGAGGAGACGTACTTGATGGATGCTGAACACGACTGCTGCCGCCATAACCCTCGTGAGGATGACGGCAGTGAACTGACTGACGATGACTCCGACGATGATGGCTTGTGTAGCAACGTCGTCACCTGACCCCCGGACCTGTTGACGAGCGTGACGTGGTTAGTGAACTGGTGAGGGAAGTGACTTGCTGAGGGACCTGTTGAGGGAAGTGACCTGGTGAGGGAAGTGACCTGGTGAGGGAAGTGACCTGGTGAGGGACCTGTTGAGGGAAGTGACCTGGTGAGGGACCTATTGAGGGGAGTGACTTGCTGGGGACCTGTTGAAGTGACCTGGTGAGGGACCTATTGAAGTGACTTGCTGAGGGACCTGTTGAGGGAAGTGACCTGGTGAAGTGATCTGGTGAGGGAAGTGACCTGGTGAGGGACCTGTTGAGGGAAGTGACCTGGTGAGGGACCTGTTAAGGGAAGTGACCTGGTGAGGGACCTATTGAGGGGAGTGACTTAGTGAGGGGAGTGACATGGTAAGAGGAGTGACTTAGTGAGGGGAGTGACCTATTGAAGGGAGGACCTGGTGAGTGTAGTGACCTGTTGAGAGGAGTGGCATGGTAAGGGGGGTGATCTGTTGAGTGACTTGTGTTTGGGTACTTAACAGAATCTAGCAGAAAATGATTGTGTCTTGGTGAAGGAGGTGAGGTGTTACCTGAGGGTGGTCCTGGTGACCAGGTCTGGGGGGCTGGCTCCCTCATGCCACGGTGACGACAGCGGCAACTCCACACACTCTGTGGTATAAGATGTAACCATTACTATGCGGAACCTTATGTTAACATTAACACGTGTTAATGTATATTAACATTAACACCTGTTAAAATATGTTAACATTAACACGTGTTAATAAATATTAACATTAACACGTGTTAATAAATGTTAACATTAAAGTGGTCTAGTCGGCGTACAACATCACATAAGTTCAACATGTGCTTAGACATTTCATGTATAAGCCGTTAAAAGCTTATTTCCATTGACTAATTAAAACCAGAGCTTAACCCGCCTCCCTCCACCTACCCTAATGGTTGGTGAGACCAACTGGTGATGATGGAACACGAATAAACGCTGGAGAGAGAGAGAGAGAGAGAGAGAGAGAGAGAGAGTTACTCACGTGACCCGGTGAGTCGACGGATGGAGAGTCGTGTCAGCAGACAAGGGCAGCACCATCTTCTCCCTCCCTCCTCCATGGGACAGCACCCTCCTCCTCTCCGCCGCTGTCGGGAGTCTTGGCTGCGGCGGTGCTGGTGATTGCGGTAGGAAGGCGCTACCTCCTGCGGCCGAGGGTCAGAACACTCGTCACACTGACTGTCAGAAGATGCTAGGACGTCCTCCAGGAAGAACCTTGGTGCACAGCTGCAGGGGACGGCTACGTGGCCTCTGCTGCTGTCTCCTCCCTCACACTCCTCCCCACACTCCTCCCGCCCTCTTCTCCTCGGGTCACCATTCTGTTCACAGCTGGAATTGAGGGCGTGTCCCTGGGGGTCCTTGTTGCCCTCTTCGCCCAGGGTACAGCTGGGGTGGGCGTCGGGCTGAGACTGAACGTCGGCGTCACGGTGTCGTATGTGGAGGGGCGAGGTAGTAGTGGAGGTCGGGGCCGAGCAGGGAGCCTGAGGGAAAACACTCAGCTCATAGCCCGGGCTGGTGGGCAGGTGAGGGAACAGACGATCTTCAGTGCCGCCGCCGCTGTTGCCGTCGACTTTCAGGTCCCTGGTGGAGTAACCTCTCACGCCGGTGCCTCCTCCCCTGGCGAGCGCCGCCCTGTAGTGATGACTTGTGTAGCGGACAAGGGGCGGCCGCCTCAGTGGACTACTGCCGAACCTCCGTAGTTTACCTTCCTCACACCTGCTCTCTATCCTACTGCAGCCGCCTTCAGAGATCTCTCCATCAGTGAGCGAGACGGCGGTGCTGGTGCTCAGGTTGGAGGTGGTCTTACAGAGGAGCTTCTTCCAGCGGACGGACCTGGGTGAAGGTGAGGCTGACGAAGACTCTAAGACAGTCCCCTGAAGTTCACTCTGCTTCTTGGAGAGGAGCCTAGCGGTGAGGGCGTAGGTCACCAGCATGATGATCAGAGGAATGTAGAAACAGATGACGGAGGCGATGATCTGGAAGAGCGAGACGGGGATCTGACAGACGCCGTCGACGATGGTAGAGTGAGGGTCGGTGGCGTACATGAGAGAGAGAGGGAGGGAGGCGGCCAGGGAGAGGCACCACACCAACACGATCTTCAACACAACACGACGACGGGTCTTATGGCGACCAAACTTCATGGGATACCTGTTGATAAGACCAGGAGGCCGTAGCCAGAGAGAGAGAGAGAGAGAGAGAGAGAGAGAGAGAGAGAGAGAGATTAATATACATATCCATCAGCAAATAATCGAAAAAAATATTTGTATTATTATTTTTATTATTATTATTATTATCATTATTATTATTATAATTTTATTATTATTATTATTATTATTATTATTATTATAATCATCATTATGAACTCAATATCTATACATCAAAAACACACACACACATACACACACACACACACACACACACACACACACACACACACACACATACACACATGCACACACACACACACACATACACACATGCACACACACACACACACACACACACACACACACATACACACACACACACACACACACACAGTCACACACACAAGATAATCCTCATTCGAGAGAATCTGATTATGAACACACTCTCACACACCTGAGGTAATCCAGGATTAACATGGGGAGGGTGTAAAGGGGTGGGGGGGTGTAGTGTGGGGGGAGGGACACACAGAGATCTGATAGCATTGAGGGAGGATGGAGGAAGGGAGGGAGGGGGGGGGGCAGCTAACAAGATTAAATGATAGGACAGTGGTCAAGGGAACAGGGAAGGAGGGAGAGGGAAGAAGGTTAGGTTAAGTTAGGATTACTTTGTGTTAAGTTAGGTTAGGTTATGTTTACTTTGCGCTAGGTTAGGTTAAGTTAGGTAAGGCTAGCTTTAGGGTGGTTAATCTTCAGGTGATCACCAAAAACGTTTACACCAAGAGAAAACAGATGGTGCTGGAGGGGTCACTATGCAATACCTGAGGGAGAGGAACCGGTCGACGGAGAGTGTACACAGATGCATGATGGAGGCGGTGCAGAAGAGGACGTCGAGAGAGATCCACAAGAGACACAGCTCCGAGGAGAACGGGAAGTGTCCTGCAAAGAAAATGGAAAATTATATCAGTCGAGGAAGATTACCAACAAAGATGTGGATAAAGTTAAGATATCGGAAGATTTACGACTTGAAGAACACTTAACCTAACCTAACCTCCTGAGATATGCCGTGTTCCGGGTCGCTTCACTCGCCGGGGTCGTAATGAATGGGATAATTATACAGAGGTAAACAGTGATGGCCGGCGAGCTAATTAAAGGTGTATATCACGTCACTTGACAACATCTATTTTACGATCAGGTAACAACGACTTAACGACCAGGTAATAACTACTGAACCTTCATTAAGTGGGCTCTGAAGCTCTTAGGGGGATCAGAACCTCTATTGATTGAGTTCGGAAACTCTTAGGAGGATTAGAACCTCTATTGATTGGGTTGAGAACCTGCCAGACGCCGGCAGCAGCCTCACGCCCAGATAGGACACACCATGAATCACCATCATGGCGGCATGTTTTATCCCATTAATCTTATTTAAGACAAAGAAAGGCGATGACAAGACGAAGAAGAAGAGGAGGAGAAGGGGGCAGAAGAGAATCAGAAAGAAGGAGAAGAAGAAGAAGTAGAGTAGGAAGAGGAGAAGGGGGTGGAAGAGAAATAGGAAGAAGAAGAAGTAAGAAACGACAAATCACAGCAAACATACGTTTCAAAATTTAAGAAGAATGGAGAAAGTCAGAGAGAGAGAGAGAGAGAGAGAGAGAGAGTTAAGAAGATGAAGGATACATTAAGGAGAAAGGACATATATGAAGGGAAAGTCGCCTGGGAGAATAAAGTAAAAAGAAAGTGACTCGTACGTCGCCGGGTGAAAGTATTGGACGGGAGAGAAAGTTGGAAAGGGGTTATATTCTCAGGTATTGTGAGAGAGAGAGAGAGAGAGAGAGAGAGAGAGAGAGAGTCCTATGTATATCGTTTCTGTAATAAGTGGTAGTGATGATTATGGTGGTCATGGTATGGTAGATGGTGGGACATAGTTTGATGGTGGTTGTTATGGTAGGAACTCAATTAAACCATTCTCACTTCCATAATCCTACCATATGTTGTAACGTTTATGCACCTTTAAGACTGCCTTTCACACCTGCATCATTAAGTGAACGCCAGCACAAGTGGAAGGGTGGAGTGGTGGTGGAGGTTTTCGCTTGGGCTGCCGTAAACTTTCGTCAATGTTTTGTTTACCAGGCAATGTTGGTTGCCAGTGCTGGATTTGTTTTATAATTTAATGGAATGGTTTCCAATCCTCCCTCCATTTTTTCCCTCTCTCCTCTTCCTCTTCTCTTTCCCTTCCCTCTGCCTCCTCCTATCCCTTCACTCCCCCCCCCCCTCACCTCCTCACTACCCTGTCACCTTAGCCGGATATTCTCTATTCACTTAATGGAGGGCAACAGACGGCGATGGAGGAGTCTTATATAGTCTCCACCACGACGATGAGCCTCTGAGGACGTGTTCTTACAACCACGGCAACCAATTACAAGAAAGACTCAATTATCTGAAATCAATCACGTAAGACTCAATTGTCCGAAATTAAATTCGCTAAAGACTCAATTAACCGAAATCAATCACGTGAGACTCAATTATACGAAATATATTACAAGAAAGACTCAATTATCCGAAATCAATTACATGAAAGATCCAATTATCCGTAATGAAGTGTGCTGTAGACTTAATTGTACAAAAGACTTAATTAACAGGTAGAAATCAGCTACCAAGCAGGGAGGTACTACCGCCTGGGAAGATATTGGAAGCATAATGTGTTGCCTAATGGTAGACCCTGCTGCCATGTGACCAAGTCCCAGGTTGGTGATCTGACAGACTTTCTGCCTCATTTACACACAGTGGCAGGGTCTCAATTGTTGCTCTTACTTTGACAACACAACATACATATCGTTTCTCACTCACCTCCACCCACCCCATTCTTTCCTTACATCCTCACTCCCCTCCCCCTTCACCTCCCTCCTTCCCCTCCTTCACCTCCCTCCTTCCCGCTCCCCCTTCACCTCCTCCTTCCTGCTCTCCTTCACCCCCCCCCCTCCTTCCCCTCCCCCTTCACCTTCCACATCCCCCTTCACCTCCCTCCTTCCCGCTCCCCATACCTCCCTCCTTCCCGCTCCCCTTCCACCTCCTCCTTCCCGCTCCCCTTCACCTCCTCTCTGCCCCACCCCTTCCTCCCTCCCTTCCTGCTCCCCTTCACCTCCTTCCCCCCCCTCCCCTTCACCTCCTCCATCCCCTTCACCTCCCTCCTGCCCCCTCCCCCTCTCTCCTTTCCATTTCTGTATAGTTTTCCCTTTTTAATTACGCCATAGACTCATTTATCCGATACAAGATTCAATTAACCGAAATAAGACCCTCGATTATCCGAAATCAATCACACGAAAGATTCAATTATCCGGACAAATGTGTACAGTGAACCCCCATTATACAAAACCTGTCTGCTATAAATAAGAGCAATCTATTAAGGCTGGGTTAGTGTGGAGAGGAGGTGGTAAGGGTGATGAGTGGTCAGGTTGGGTATAACGAGAGAGAGAGAGAGAGAGAGAGAGAGAGAGAATAGATTTACTGCATGAGCAAAATTCTTGTTCCAAACTTTACCACCGTACTACCACAATCCACCACCACCTCACGGCCACTACCACAATTTTCGGTAATGCAATACGCCCCATTTCCACAATCTATCACAATCCACCCTCTCATCCTCCACTACCACAATTCACCATAATGCACTTCAACCCCGCTACCACACTCTACCACGACCCTCCCCTACACTTCAGCGACACACGTATCGGGGAAATGGGAAAAAATACTGGAGACGGCTCCTCCTTTTCCCCCTAGACCGAATAATCAATAAACAAAATTCCCCCACAACGACCTTCACATTTCTTCCAGGGTGGGGAAGAAAGGTTAAGGTGAGTTCCCTACCTGCCGGGTATTAATTAGGGAATATTGCTGTCGTAAGGTGGATACTTGTGTGAATGAGGTAGATGAATGGGGGGGGGGGGGAGGAGCACTGACATTAGTGGAATGGGATGGGGGGGGGTGGAGGGAGACTGATCATTGTGTGAATGAGTAGATGAATGGGGTGGGGGGGGTGGGGAGGGAGTACTGATACATTAGTGTGAATGAGGTAGATGAATGGGGTGGGGGAGAGGAGGGGTGTGTGGGAGGGGAGGAGGGAGGGAGGAAGGAGAAAGGGGAAGAGGAGAGAGATAAGGGGAAAGAGTGAAGAGAGAGGGAGAGTTACCTTTTGTTCATCTCACTTGAAAACCCACAACAACAACACTACAGGTAAACTTAATTATAATGCACAGGTGACACTCCAATCAAGGTGGAGTCTTAACTTAGATAATACAAGCGTCCGTAGAGCCTAGTTAAGTAACGTTAGCGTAGCAGTTACTTCTTGACGAGTTACTTATTTTCTTGTTGATTATTATAGTGAAACACGAGTCTCTCTCTCTCTCTCTCTCTCTCTCTCTCTCTCTCTCATCATCCCCTTCTCTTTCAATCTCTCTGTAACACACACACACACACACACACACACACACACACACACACACACTTTGAAGTACAGCAAATCCTCTTACTGTAGTTACTGAAAGTCTCCAGTAATTAGCACACTCATGTCCTGTGTGTTGAGTGTGTGTTGAGTGTGTGTTGAGTGTGCGTTGTATGTGTGTTTCTTGAGTAGTGTGTGTGCTGGGTGTGTGTGAGTGTGTTCAGTGTGTGTGTGTGTGTGTGTGTGTGTGTGTGTGTGTGTGTGTGTTACTCCATATAACACAGAACATTCACTGACTCGCTGTATTAAATCTATATAACCCATGATATAGGAGACCCATTATATAACCCATAATATAGTGAGACACGTTATATTACCCATGATGTAGTGAGACATGTTATATAACCCATGATATAGTGAGACCCATTATATAACCCATGATATAGTGAGACCCATAATGTAACCCATGATATAGTGAGACCCTCTATATTACCCATGATATAGTGAGACCTGTAATGTAAACCACGTTATAGTCATGTTAACTGTACTAGTAATGAACACAGGTCCTCTGACTACCTGTACCGGTAATGGCGGTCAGATGATGCCCCGCAGCGGCTGATATACCAGGATAACTGTTTGTTTACAGGTCGGTGAGTGAGGAGCCACGCTTGAACGCTGGCGAGAGAGAGAGAGAGAGAGATCGTTTGATGTGCCGTTTACTCATAAAGGCAGCAGGCTAGAGGGGGGGGGGAGGAGGAGGAGAAGGGGTCACAGGGGAGGGTTACCTAGAACTCTCAAAGTCGTGTGAGTTTATAATCTTTCTCCCTCAAGACGTCTCTAATTGGCACATTTTTTTTTTTTCCCGTGGGAACAAAATATGACGTCAAAATATCACTGAGACTCAACCTCATCAATCAGTAGAAAAGACAAAAAATAATTACGTAAGGGTGTTAATGAATCCGGTAATAAATATGAATTCGGTTTGGAGACGACAGAGTCAAAACACAACACGACACAACACAACACAACACGACACAACACAACACAACACGACACACAACCGACACAACACAACGACACAACACGAACCGACACAACACGACACAACACAACAGCACAACACGACACAACACACGACACAACACAACACGACACAACACGACACAACACAACACGACACAACACGACACAACGACACAACACAACACAACACGACACAACACGACACAACACGACACAACACAACACAACACAACGACACAACGACACAACACGACGACACGACACAACACGACACAACACGACACAACACGACACGACACGACACAACACGACACAACACGACACAACACGACACAACACAACACAACACGACACAACACAACACAACACAACACAACACTAACACCACAACTACAACACAACACGACACAACACGACACAACACAACACGACACAACACGACACAACACAACACGACACAACACGACACAACACGACACAA